AATATTTTTTGTCTACAAATTTACGTAATTAAAAACATATGTTGCCATTTGAAAAAACCAAAAATCCCCCTTTTTGGCTTATAAGGATTGTTGATAAAAATTTTCAAAATATTGAAAAATGTAGCAAAATATCTACCTAAAAGTTTAGGGAAAACAAATTCTAAAAATATTCTTATTTTCAGAAAAAAAATGAGTGTCTTACGTTAGTTGGTTCACCCTGTATTATTAAGTAAAATAATACAGCAAAACCTCGTTTTTTTTTTATTAAAAATATATATCTACAATCTGTAATATTAGTTACAATAGGTAAATTTGAAAAAAAATATATAATACAATGACAGGACAACGAGAAAGAAGGGGGTGCCCAGTAACACTACTTCAACTAGATTCAATTACATAATTATAATTGTTTTGAATTCCTTAAAAAAACTTTTTGATTTTTTTTTTTAGTTATTGAGAAGGTCGCGTGACCAATTTGGTTTTAATCGACGAGGAGGATTGTTTGGAAGAGTAAGAGAAGAAATATTGGATATCAGTGGATTCGGGTGATTTATAGTGGTAGAGTGGAATTGGAGAGACGTCTTAAGCTATGGAATTTTAATTTAAGGAATAGCGTTTTAATTTTGATGTGAGTAGCCCAGGTTAGTCGCTTGTCAAGATGAATGCCCAAGTATTTAACAATTTTTCAGAATATTTTTTATTTAAAAAAAAAAAAAGCCAGTACAGTGGAGGCGGTTCATAGTGGAGGACAAGCATAGAGTTTATATATTTATTTGACCATGAATATTTGGTTGAAAAAAATAGACTCTTGTCGAAAACAAGTTTTAAACAAATATTTTTGGAGCTATTAGCATTTTAAGAAATAGGCCGAAAGAAAAACTATAAAATTGTTAGCATAACAAAAACAAACTACAGCTTTGACAAACGCTGTTTGTATACGATTAATATATGTAGGCCGTAGGTGAAAAGTTCACTATAAAACCCGAAAAATATTAGACGAGTATCATATTTTATGTTTTTACTTATCTGGAAAAGTAGAAAGACGTTTAAAGCAACATGCATTTCAAATTCGTCGTTTTTCTATGTCTGATATTATTTATTAAACATTCAACTGCTGCAACTGGTGTTCAGGTAATTTTTTTTTTTAATTGAAGCTATCGATATTTGATTAATGTAGCTAAAAAAATTATTCAGTCTTTGCTATAACACTAGTTATAGCAAAAACTGAATCATTTTTTTAGTGGAAAATGTGTATTAATTTTCCATAAAGCGATAGATTAATGATTTTGTTTTTTTTTTTTAATAGTACTATTAAATAATTATGACTAAAAAAATATATTTAAAAACATTATATATTAATATTTTTTTTTCATTTGGGAATTATAATTAGATAATGCAAAAGAAGCGTGAAATATATGATGCTCTTAAAACGGCATATCCTCAAAATATTACAAAACCAAATGTAATAGCTTATTTGGTGAGCAAAAACTATTCTGGACAAAATATCTCTGAGATCGTAAAGTATTTACATAGTATGTTGAAAAATCACGATAAGTATTTAATAACTTTTTTAAATATAATTGGTATTTTTTACAAATAAAGACTATCACGCGAAGTCACAAGTCAAATATATTTTTTTTCTTTGTTATATAGTTGAACATCTTTTCTATGTGGGCTAGAAGGCCGGTTTTTTATTTTTGTTTTCAAAATAAATGTATAAGCATTTATATGTCCATAGTTTTTTTCTAATAATTCTAACTAATTCCATAATTTCTAAATCAAAAATCGGCCTTTTAGCCCCCCCCCCCCACAGAATAAATAGTATGCTTCACTTAAAAAAAAAATAATGAAATCCGTCCAATAGATACGCCAGAAAATGACCTCTATGAAAGTAATTTTTTATTAAACTTTCACCATAACTCGGAGAAAAATATTTTTTAAAGTATTATTACTGAAAAATTTATACTTTTTTTACCTATATATATTTTTTCACCTTAAAACTACTAGTCGGCATCTTAAAAATGGCTATTAATAAATTTTTATCAAATATTGCGTATCCTTTGCCGCTAATAAATAGCTCTTTCCGATTTTATCTCATAGAGTTTAATAAGAAATTTAATTTTTTTTTCATGTTTGTATAAAATGAGATCTCAATTTTACACTATTTCCCCCCCCCCCCCAACTTAGTTATTTTGTTAACAACTTTTGAAACATAAATGGTAACGTATATAATTCATTAACTTTTTAAATTTAGAATAATGTACTACAAATTTTGACTGGTTGATATCAGTTTTGGACAACTATTATTAAAGTTAAAAGAGTTTAAAAGTTTGAGATAGGAGGGGAAGTGCGGTTTGGAAATGCGTGCAGATAAAAATAGTACTAGCCCTAAACTTGAATAACTTCAAAAATAGTTATCCGAAACTGGTTATCGGTCAGTCAAATTTTTTTGTACATTATTCTCAAATTAAAAATACAAAAGTTGATGTCAAAAACACTAAGTTGGGAGGGGGTAAAAACAAAATAGTTGAGAAAAATTGAGATCAAATTCTATAAAAAACAATATGAAAAAAAAACATTTTAATTTCTTATTAAACCCTGCGAGATATTGAGTGGCCCGTGTTAAAAAATCGTCCTGCATGTACAATGTTTTACAGTCAGATATCATAATGTATTGCATTGAGCTAATATCTAACAAATGTCAAATTAATATTAAATGTTATATTAAACACACGCAGGGAAATAATGAGGACAGAGTATACTTAGTAATTTCTGAGCATCGTTATTGAATTATAATTGTTATATATTATTAAAAAAACAAAACAGCTATTTGCTGTTTTTAATTTTGTTGCTGTACTATTCATAGATTCACATAAAAGCGTTTAATTATGACAATATCATTTTCAGACTTAATTTAATTGTTATGGCCCCACTTTGCTAACTTCTTTCCCTGCTGATTTTTAATTATTGTATTTACTTTTGTGATCAGATACTGTGCTAGTTTATTTTTAATGTTGAGTTAAAGCGAACAATTTACATTATACAAATTGTACACAGATTCACTTAAAGTGTAACTGTACAATATACATTGGAAAAAAATATACATTGTGATAAATGAAAGTCTCGAGTTAGCTTCTAACAAAAGATATTATCATCAAAACATTTTTAAAAAAAGTCATTGATGGTGTATGTATTAGTTTATTTTAATGCAAGTATGAATTTCAGATTACGGTATTATTACGGAAGACGAATTTTACAATAGTTTCAAGGCTGACCATATGTTGGACCTGGTAAATAACGGTAGAAGACAAAATTAAGCTCATCTGAAACGAAGATTATCAATTAATAATTATAATACCATTCACTCAACCAGCATTTGAATCTTTTGTTTAATATAAATCTTATTTTTATCGTTAATGATAATTTTTAAAATTATACAAAATATTTCCTATTACATTAAATTGTTACGAACCTCTAGCTGAAAAGTTATTGTTATTATATTATTTTTTTCCTGGCCACACAACTTGATTTTAACCCGCTAAACCAATTTCTTCAAATAGCAATTTTACAAACCTAAAAAGCAACTAATTGGATAGAAATTTAAAAAATGTACTCAAACCCAAGCCCCAATATGTTCTGTTCCTGCTGTACTGGCTTTTATCATAATTCAAATAAAATCATATAAAACCTTCAATAGCTAATACAACCATCTGACAACTGGATTCTGCCACGATTGATATTTATTTAAATTCATAATACATTTTTTTTAACAGTAAATACATTGAATACAAAGTATAATTATTTAGAAAGTACAATCTTGGCTAACTCACATTTAATTTGAATAGACTATTTAGAGTTGGGTATGTTTAATGGCATTGAATGTGTAGAATAACTTGTTTTATTTTGTATTATAAGTTAATTATTTGAAATATTGTTTATTAGCTAATTATTAACATATCTACTGAAATTAAAAATATGGATATTTTAATAAATTTAATGTTTATTGTGCATTTGCCTAATTAAAGTATGCACTTTATTGACATGGTCTAACCCATTTAAGAGAATTACTAATAACTAATCCGAGGTATTCAACCGGATTCATTGATAAGGGTTAGCAAATCTAGTTCCTTTTTCCAGTTTTTAAGGACATAGATGGTTGTAATAGTGAATACACTGAAGACATTGGTTTTAGACAGATAAATAGGTACATACAAAATTACTGTAGATCTCTGTAGCTTCTCATCGATACCACGGACATGTTTTTTCAACAAATCAAATTCGGTAAGTTTTTTGTGAGATAGGTAATTATTTTTATTAAACAATAGAGGTTTCTACAAAAAAAAAATTAAATATTCAAATATTTAAAAACCAGGTATTACAGTAGCAAAGCTATCATCACCAACGGTCACAACAGACTCAGTATACTTAAGGTATCTGATATTTTCTGTGTTTATTGAAATAATGAATCGACTTGAATGTTGAAATAGGTGTTTTTAAAGTGGTCAAATTGTGTGGTTATTTTTAATACCTAGTTGAAATTCATAAAATTAGCAACCCGTAAGCTCAGAAATATTATAAGGTTTAATACATTATTTACCAACCTGTTCTCTAATAAAATTACATACCTACGGATAATATTTTAGAATGCACCTACCCCACAGGGCTCACTCTTTGATTATCACGGTGTGAAGTTTCAAGTTTACACTATAAACCATTAACAGCATAATGCATTAGTTTATAAAACAAATAAATAAATTGCTGATTATTTTCACTTTTGACTTGAATTACTTCCAAGTTCCAAGTATTTTTCGGCGTACCGCGAAGGTAGGTATAGGTACTAGGCCACGGTCATTACCGTTGAAGATAACCAAGGAATAGGTCTATGATACCACTCTATGGTCGCTAGCGATAAACAACATGGTATTATCAATCATATTGATAAGGGATAACAAATGTTATCAATATCCATTACTGATAACAAAATGTACATACTACACACAGATAGGTACAGTACAAATTAGAATTTTCATTCAAATTAATTATTATTACTAAACCTTGTTATACTTCGACGTTTTATACGGCTAATATAACAGTAGCTGTAGTCTTGTAGACCTTAAACCTATTTCTTTTTTTAATTATATTGTTTATATTATTTTAATTATAAGATATTATATTCTTCGTTTGGAATATCTGTATCCAATGAATCGGCAAAACGATATCTGCAAGGTAGTAACATTAGGAGATTCTGGTGTCGGAAAAACATGCTTATTGCAAAAGATAAAGTATGGAACATATAATAATGAAAATTCGATGACCATAGGTATAAATACATTTTAAGATTTTTTTTATTAGTCATCATATATTTTTGTATATTTGTTTCTCAGGAATCGATTGTTTACATAAAACTGTTGATTTGGGAAATAAATTAATTACACTAGAACTGTGGTAAGTACATATTTCTTATTACTGGTAAAATAAAATTAGATATTCATTAAATGATCGTATTGTAGAACAGGTTATAATTAATTTGGTATTATAAACTTTTATAACTATTTTAATTTGAATAGCCTGGAATTCTAATCTCAATTGAATTGTAATAATAATCAAACGGATTTGTTTGATATTTAAAATTAATGCGACATAGTCGAAACTCACATTGGATTAAAGATTAAAATAACTAATTTTGGAAATCACTTTATGATATCAATCAAAAATAATAGTATTTGATTATTTGTTTCTTAACATTTAGGGATACAGCTGGACAAGAGAGATTTGATGCTATGAATAAGTTATATATAAGAAATGCAATGTGTATATTACTTCTCTACGATATTACTAATGAGGAGTCGTGTTTTAAACTGAACAAGTGGTGTGATTTGATTGATGAGGTAATTGCTTTCACTAGAATAAGTACTTATTGCTTGTACAACAGTTAAAGAAATTATTTTAAAACACATTCCAGGGGCGATTACTCTTTTGTCCTCCGATTCAATCCGACACTGTAGATTCTATTATTCTATTCCTTAAGCAACCTATTACAGCCATTAAAGCATTCTTCAAGGATGATATTTTGGCAGATCCCTTTTACTAGATATTTTCTGCCTAATTAACAGAGCTGCACTAGTCTGAGTATCAAAACTAGCTACAGCGAGCGCTATACATTGTCTTACTCACTTGTCCTTTTTAAAACAAGTAAATCCATACCATTTAATGTTAAATATTAGTAAAGTAATTGTAGTGGCCTATAATATTATATTTTTTGTACAGTAAATTATTATTTCTTTTTTTTTCCAGCAAGCACCAAGTGATGTAATCAAAATTTTGGTTGGTAATAAATGTGATAAACGTACCAGAATGATTTCAACTGAAATCGGGCAATCGGTATGTACCAAAATAATTAGTATTTCTTTTTATACAAAACAAGATTGCTAATTTGAAGTGAAAATAAGTCAAATCCTAAACTTCTCTTACTACAATGAAATAATGATAATATAATAAATAATAACTACTCTAGGATTCTTAAAAGGCATCCGTTTACTTTTGCTGCGATGCCACCATTTATTTTTATTAAAATATCACACTAATACTTATTATTTCAAATAGTTTGTTTAAATCTGTATTTTTTTTTAATTAACGTTACTTTTGTAGGTAGCTGATTATTTAAAAATGCCATTTATAGAGCTATCGTTGAAAGAAGATGTCAATGTAGATGAATTAATGGATTTAATGTTGGTAATGTTAGTACAATTACTAGAAAACCGAAAAATTTTATTAGAAGAAGTAAATTCATTTTTTTATTATTATTTAATACTTCATAATATTTAATAAAATTACTAATTTATTGTTTTCAAAAATAATCTTCATATCCATTGTGAATATTATGAACCATATTTTGTGCGTGTCTGAAAAAATATTTTATCGTTGTTTTAGAAAAGATTACAAGATGCATTCCGTATTTCGCAAAGAGACTCCGAAATCAATGAACAAAGCGGCTGGGAATGGTTACGCCAATACTGTTCTTATATTTAAACTCTTCAAGTTTAAATTTATATTTACTCGTCAACTATTACTTATAGTAAAATATATTTTTAAATAATGTATGATATGTACCAAATGTATAGTTTTCCAGTACTAATTACAGATTTTCTAAGCTATTATTTTTAAGTAAATTTAACTTAACGACTTGGCAAAGAGAACTAAAAGATTTTATGATTTCTCCCAAAATAATTTTTCTTTATTGTAATTTTGTAATATTTTAAGCTTAAATACATTCTTATCTGTATTTTATACTTAAAACGTTTTATTTATTGATATATATATATATTATATATATATTTAAAAAGAGTATTAATTGTATATAAAAATAAATTACTAGATTTTACATAGTTTTAAGTGTATTATACTTAGGATACAAAACAGCATAATGTTGAGCAAGCAACGCACCAGTGTAGTTTCCTACGTTCACCTATTCAACTAGTATATTTGATCATTATCGGGTTATGCTGTATGTTAGGCATGATCAATAATTTTATATAATTTATTTGCTTACTTATAAAAACAAACCAGTAATATGTATATTACTAATTATAGGCATAACATAGTTGTATGTATAGATATTGACTATCAATTTATTAATTATATAATTTATTAATTTATTTATTATATAGTATCGTTACTAAACATTCGGGAAATCTCGATCTGAAACCTCAGCTATTTTTCAGAAATTGTAGTGTACTCGGTAAAAAAAAGCTCTTTTTTTAAAAAGTAAGAACGTCCCCCTACTTTTTGATTTTCCAATCGAGTACTGTAGTCTGTACGCACCATTCATATAATAACTCTGTATTAAAATAATTTTTCTTGTATGTAGATCTTAATTAAAATTTTTTTAAATCCTAAGTACACCACAGATAATTTACTAATAATGTATTTTTTGAAATAACAAAAAAAAACTAACATAGGGTAATGACAACAGTGATTGGCACTATCTCAGTGTTTTGAGATAGTGTTTATTTATATCACAGATACAATATTAATATATTATATACAATTAGACCATTGAGATAATATTTTTATACAAAATGTCATTAAAAAAAAGGAAGATATTTTATCTGTGGTAAAAACACTGCATTGCAAATACTGGAATATAGTGCCAATCGCTGGTGCCGTTACCCTATTTTAAAAATTGTATTGAAATCTCAATTACTTTAAATATTAAATAATAATATACCTATATTATATTATATTATATACTATATAATTATCAGCTTAAATGCCTTTATGGCCCAACGCTGTTTTTACAAAATAGACTAAGTATAGATCATAGACCTTTAAAGAAATCCTATATATATATACTTCTTTATAGGTCTATGATAACATAGATATCTTGGTAGTAAAACGTCTTAAACACATTCAAATTCACACAATTATTAAAAAAATACAATAAATGGAAATTTAAGTGTAATATATTGAATCAATAAATAACAATTCACTATGTTATTTTTTCCCAATGACTACATTGTTTATACTTAGTTCACTGAAGGAAAATTTTAGAAATTTGTCTTCTCATAATTGTATTTAGCTGTATATTCATTATTCATACAAGTTATAAGTACAATAGTGGTCTTGTCTTTGATACTGTTTCTACAACATTGGCAAAAACGACTGGACTACAAATGACAATAAATACCTACACAATTCATCATCAGAATCATTATGCAAGCCGTACGTACAGGCCTAGAAGGTCCAATGCTGATATTTAAATAGGAACTCTATCAAAGTTTATAAAAACATCACACGTTTTTATATCAACTTGATATCTGTAGGTACCTTATTTACGAGTAGAATAAAATAAAATAAATAATATAGACCTCTAGGCATGATATAGACATTTTATAAATTGTAAACATTTGGTATTTAAACATTTAAATTTAGTTATAAATAATTAATTTCATAACATTTGAAAATGCTGTTATTATATTTATGATTAACATAGTATCGATATAATTTTAATATTAAGAATCAAATTTGAATCGAGGATAAAGTAATATAAAATTATTTAAACTTTGAAACGTCTTTACCTACTTTGTAAAACGTAATAAACAATTAATAACTATTGTAATTTTCTGTTATAATTCCATTGAAAACTTTGAATATGAGTGTAGTTAATAGGTAAGGTACTTGCCTAGTAAAGCTTGGATGTTTATGTCTTTCGGAATTTTTTTAGTAAAATTAGAGTTGTACCCTAATACGATGTAAATTCGATTCACAAAGACTAGAGTCTACATTTCAAATCAGCAAGCTTATATTGCATATATTTGCATATTTGCAACTTTTGAACATATATTTGCCTATAGTTCTAGATTTAGTAGTAGTATATTTGTAAGTATAATTACTTAAAATGTTCCATTTTAATATTATCTATAATCGTGTTAATTAGTATAAGCTAAAGAAAATGATACACGTAAGAAAAAATATTAAATGATAAGTATGGCTATACAAATATTATCCAACAATTTTTAAATAATCGTCATTGTTCTTTTTGATTTTAAAATATTACCAAATAATTGTAATACAATGTTATCCTGTAAAATACCTTTTTAAGTAGTTACCTAATTAACCTACGTAAAATAATATTATTTGTATTCTGTCATGTCAGCTATTTGAAAACACGGCTTAAAATTTAAAGCCGATTTTAATAGGCATACTTTGACATTTTAAATTGCATGTTTAAATACACCTATGGTCAATATTCATTAACATCTAAGCTTAAAAGTATTAAAAAAAATAAATTAGATGAAAGTTATAATATATATTATATAGCCAATTGGAATAAATAAATATTAAAAAAACTAGTTGTAGGTAAAAAACATAAAAAAACTTTTAACTATTATGCACTTTTACTAATTGGTAAATGTGTTTAAAACCAATTTTTCAGTTATTATTTTTACCAAACACCAGTTTTTCCAAACTACATGTTTTCCTAGTTGGGATAAATTAATATTAGGAAAACTGGTCATTGGTAAAAAGTGTACAATGGAAAAAGTGGTCCTTGGTAATATATGCAATTTGGAAAAAGTGGTGTTATCCCGTCGCTAGCGATAAACAACATGGTATTATCAATTATATTTATAAGGGATAACAAATGTTATCAATATCCATTACTGATAACAAAATGTACATACTACACACAGATAGGTACAATACAAATTAGAATTTTCATTCAAATTAATTATTATTACCAAACCTTGTTATACTTCGACGTTTTATACGGCTAATATAACAGTAGCTGTAGTCTTGTAGACCTTAAACCTATTTTTTTTTTTTAATTATATTGTTTATATTATTTTAATTATAAGATATTATATTCTTCGTTTGGAATATCTGTATCCAATGAATCGGCAAAAAGATATCTGCAAGGTAGTAACATTAGGAGCTTCTGGTGTCGGAAAAACATGCTTATTGCAAAAGATAATGTATGGAACATATAATAATGAAAATTCGATGACCAAAGGTATAATAAATACATTTTAAGATTTTTTTTATTAGTCATCATATATTTTTGTATATTTGTTTCTTAGGAATCGATTGTTTACATAAAACTGTTGATTTGGGAAATAAATTAATTAGACTAGAACTGTGGTAAGTACATATCTCTTATTACTGGTAAAAAAAATTAGATATTCATTAAATGATCGTATTGTAGAATAGGTTATAATTAATTTGGTATAATAAACTTTCATAACTATTTTAATTTGAATAGCCTGGAATTCTAATCTCAATTTAATTGTAATTATAATCAGACGGATTTGTTTGATATTTAAAATTAATGCGACGTAGTCGAAACTCACATTGGATTAAAGATTAAAATAACTAATTTTGGAAATCACTTTATGATATCAATCGAAAATAATAGTATTTGATTATTTGTTTCTTAACATTTAGGGATACAGCTGGACAAGAGAGATTTGATGCTTTGAATAAGTTTTATATAAGAAATGCAATGTGTATATTACTTGTCTACGATATTACCAATGAGGAGTCGTGTTTTAAACTGAATAAGTGGTGTGATTTGATTGATGAGGTAATTGCTTTCACTAGAATAAGTACTGTTCAGTACTTATTGCTTGTACGACAGTTAAAGAAATTATTTTGTATAATAGCATAGATTAAACACATTCCAGGGGCGATTACTCTTTTGTCCTCCGATTCAATCCGACTCTGTAGATTATATTATTCTATTCCTTAAGCAACCTATTACAGCCATTAAAGCATTCTTCAAGGATGATATTTTGGCAGATCCTTTTTACTAGATATTTTCTGCCTAATTAACAGAGCTGCACGATGCTGAGTATGAAAACTAGCAACAGCGAGCGCTATACATTGCCTTTTAAAAACAAGTAAATCCATACCATTTAGTGTTAAATATTAGTAAAGTAATTGTAGTGGGCCTATAATATTATACTTTTTGTACAGTAAATTATTATTTCTTTTTTTTTCCAGCAAGCACCAAGTGATGTAATCAAAATTTTGGTTGGTAATAAATGTGATAAACGTACCAGAATGATTACAACTGAAATCGGGCAATCGGTATGTACCAAAATAATTAGTATTTCCTTTTATACAAAACAAGATTGCTAATTTGAAGTGAAAATAAGTCAAATCCTAAACTTCTCTTACTACAATGAAATAATAATTACTCTTGGTTTCTTAAAAGGCATGCATATACTTTTGCTGCAACGCCACCATTTATTTCTATTTAAATAACATGTTTGGTACTTATTTTTACAAATAGTTTGTTTAAACCTGTAATTTTTTTAATTAACGTTATTTTTGTAGGTAGCTGATTATTTAAAAATGCCATTTATAGAGATATCATCGAAAGAAGATGTCAATGTAGATGAATTAATGGATTTAATGTTGGTAATGTTAGTACAATTACTAGAAAACCGAAAAATTTTATTAGAAGAAGTAAATTCATTTTTGTATTATTATACTTCATAATATTTAATAAAATTACTAATTTATTGTTTTTAAAAATAATCTTCATATCCATTGTGAATATTATGAACCATATTTTGTGCGTGTCTGAAAAAATATTTTATCGTTGTTTTAGAAAAGATTACAAGATGCATTCCGTATTTCGCAAAGAGACTCTGAAATCAATGAACAAAGCGGCTGGGAATGGTTACGCCAATACTGTTCTTATATTTAATTTATTCAAGTTTAAATTTATATTTACTCGTCAACTATTACTTATAGTAAAATATGTTTTAAAATAATGTATGATATGTACTAAATGTATAGTTTTTCTGTACATTGTTTTAAGTAATTTTAACTTAACGACATGGTTTTATGATACCAAGATAATTTTTCTTTATTGTAATTTTGTAAGATTTTAAGCTTAAATACATTTTTATCTTTTATAAAACTGGTATTTTATAGTTGAAACGATTTATTCATTGATATATATTTAAAAAAGAGTTTTAATTGTATATAAAAATGAATGACTAGCTTTAACAAATTGACTAGTATTAAATGTATTATATTTAGGATACAAAACAGCATAATGTTAAGCAAGCAACGTACCAGTGTTGTTTTTTACTTTCGCCTATTTAACTCTTCGATTCTGGTCAATTCTTTATCGGTAATTTAATGTCTAAATAAATTAAACTAATAATGTTCTTGTCGGGTTTAGTAAGATAATTAAAATTGTATACATGAAGAATAATTGTCATCGATAGATGCAATGAAATTGTTATGATAAATAACTACTGATAAATGAATAAATAATATACTTAACTAGTATATTTGATCTTTATCAGGTTATGTTATATGTGCATACAGTTTTATATAATTATTATTTTATATAATTTATTTGCTTACTTATAAAAACAAACCAATAATATGTATATTACTAATTATAGGCATAACAGAGTTGTATGTATAGATATAGACTATCGATTAGCAATATTATATAGTATCGCTACTAAACATTCGGGAAATCTCGATTGGTTTCACAAACGTTGCCCTAAAAACACAATGTTAAAACTGTATTATGGTTTAACAAATATAAGATAAAAAATCTCACAACTTCCGACGCTTTGTATATTGAAACGGTCTGGGGTGGCGCCGGATTGTATTCGATCAACGACACTAATGATTCTTCTACTCACAAGTGAGACAGCATATAGAATGATTGGTGTTAATAAAAAATTATAAAATATATCATTAATAGTACAAACTTGATGAATTTCTGAAGTCATCGTTATTTTCATTTTGTCTTTTCGACATACTTTTCGGATCATCAGTTTTTTCAATTACGCTCCCGGATTTAAGATCCAAGTTTCGAGCATTGATCTAAGTATAACATTTAAAAAATATATATATGTATAATATATAGTATTATATAAATAAAAATTATTGTTAATATTCCCAATACATTTGACTATAATGCGTTTACACAAATAAGTTTAAAAATGTATTTCAAAAACTTTTGTAATAACTTTGATGGTTATTTCATAACTTTTAAACTATGAACTTTAAAAAGTTTGATAACCGTTTCGAGGTCTGTAAAAAACATTATTATCTCACCAAGTAATTTAAGCAAAAATATGTAACTGGTTACAATCGCGAATTTTATTATTTGTTTGCTAAATTATATATAAATTGGAAAATATAATATAGTTTATTAGATACTTGTATGTATGGCAAATACCTAGTTAAGTATTGTCTTTTAATAATTTATTAGTAAAATGTAAATCTATTAAATTATAATTGTAGATTTGACGATTTTCCGGAGAATTCTAAAATAATTATTCAAAACTCATTTTTAAATTACTTGTAAGTTTTTGAACTCGAGAATATTACCTGGCTAGCCCGTTATATTATGTTCTAGTTAGAAATTGTACACTTTTTGAGACTTGTTCAATTTTGCAATAAGTTTTATTTAGGTATTTTAAAATGTGTATACTTAAACGTTATACGAGTTACGACGAATTTATTGTATTGTTAATAATAATTTTTGTCAAATGTACATTCTGTCCGCTTGATTGGTCTTGGGCCAACGCGATTCGGATCCATTGCAGAGTCAATCTTTGGGCTGTAGCCGTTTTATCTTTATTTGCTCAACCCTAGTCTTTATTGTTCTGTGTTTTTTTCAAATGACTTGGGGGGGGGGACGAATATATGTTGAAAAACTACTATAGTCGAGGGCAAGGTATAACTGCGAGGAGAAGACAAGCGTAGGCGCGTCAAACGGTAACTTGGTGGCCAGAAAATGATTTTACAATGGGTCCGACAAAGGCACAAAGGACCGAACAAGGGAATGCATCCTACATTAATGTAATGTATAAGGAACGTTTTCGTTGGGAACGCCTACCCTTCGGTTTCCGGCATTTGCCACAATTATCCTTCTGTCCATATACTCTACTCCTAGCTCGATGTGCTGAGCTGAACCCAGAAACGGAGCAGTTTGCATGTGCTTTGTCGCCTCCGTGTACGGTAGCTCTGCTGGGAATATTTCGTTCCAATATTGATCCTTTTTCATTTTCGGATATTCCTGATGCAGCTCGTCGACAATTACATATGATACCTAAAATAAAGTGGGGGGTTTTCAAATCGAGCGTGGAAACCTGAGAATAGTCAAGTACAATGCTCGATACCTACGCATTAATCGCTTTATTTACCTGCAAATTTCTATCGATTAGCCAATTAACGTCGAAATCGTCATCGTTGTCTCCGAAGGGGTTTACCAATGTTTCGGCCACCATTAACCAGCCCATGTAGAAAAAAAACTAAACGCACAATATTATACAGTGCATTACATATATTTCCATACGACCAAATCCGGGCGTTCGCTTACTTGTAAAAATGTGAACACTGGAAAATACAAGTCGATCGGATGCGTGGGATATCCTCGGCTTGGGTCTAGGTATTGGTTGCCCATCAGAGAAGCAATGAAATAGGCGTACACCGCCAGTGTTGTCACCTAAGATTGAACGAGAAAGTCAATGAACTACAGTCCCCGCAAGCTAGTTTGGTCGGTGCAATTTTTTGGGGGGCGTTAAACCCTCCAAGTTTGCATGTGCGAATGGTTGTCGATAGGATTTAATAGAGTGTTCTTTTTTGTCGTTAACGTGGCTTTTGGCTGAGGGTCTATCAAAAAAAAAAGCATGTCCATGTACGGTGTTTGCACTTTTTTCTACACCCTCTCCTTGCGGCGTACCCTAAGTATTGTTTGGGCGAAATTCTCATGTACTTGCCTGTGTATAGACTAACGGTATGCTGATCCAATCGTAACTCAGTAGATTGTGACAATCGGATCTGATTTTGTTGATCTCGTGCACCAACGTTTTTGTGGAGAACTCGTCGGCAATGCGCTTTTCCCGTTTCGCCTGCGTCACTATGGTGGCTGCCCAAACCAGCGGCATCCAATAGTTGGAGTGGCTGGTCTTGGCGTTCATGGACTCGAACACGGTCTGTTCGGCTGGCAACAGGAACCCAGAGTCGATCATGTGGCCCATTGTCGGGAAACGTTTCTTCACCGCGGGACATATCATGGTCAACGTCATCAGTATACTGAGATTCGCGTACCTCAGTATTGTCCTTCTGATCAGCCTCGACCGGTCGTCCTGTGCCGCCGTTTAACAAAACAACGGTATTGCGTTATTAACATAGGTGCCTTGACGACCGATTTTTAAAAATCCTCTCCAAACACTACATAGTCACCACCATTCGTGGCTATTCGACTATAGAACATCTGTCCCTCCCCCGCCTGTTCGGTGTACCTCTCTGTCCTGTGCGCGGCTCTGTTGTCTCTTATATCGAATACACTGGTAATAATCACCTGGCCCGTTATTAACGTGCTGACGTTTAGAGCTAACGAGTCCGGCCACGGTATGCTCTGATACTGGCTCCACCATCTGCCTACCACCAGAGCCACGTAAAATCCCAACACAAACGACACCGGTATGAGATCCATGTGCGTTAGACAGTGCAGCGATAATTTCTCGAACAGGCTACATCGAGTAAATCGCGCGGCTAAATTATTGCGTGGCATATTTTCACACGCAAAAAAAAAACATTAGGTATAGGAGGTACCTACTCCCTCTGGGACTGTGTCATCAGCGTCCGGTAGGCGAAGCTCAGAGAGAAATAACAGACGGCAAACAGTATGAGATTGGGCCACAGCAGTTTGTAAATACTACCTCTCCAGCTGAAACCGAACACGACACACGGCCGACCTTTAACGTTGTGTGGGTATTTTTGAGCATCGTGACATTACCGGAAAAGTAGTTTCCAAAAAACGCCCATGCCGCTGCACGTGGCCACCTGGTCGGTGTAAGTGACGGTCATTTCGCATAGACACGTCCGAAGCGAATGAGTAAAGTCAATTGTTTTTCGCGCATAAACAAATGGTCATAATATTTTTTCCGTCTGCCTTCCGGCACGCGTACAAGTGACAGAATGCATCGAAAAGATTCGCATTACAACGGTAACGTCGGAGACGAACTGTTAAAAAAAAAAAAAAAAGTGATGTTCAACTAAACAAAAAACGTGACACGTTTCGGTTTCCATGACAATTAACTCGTTGGCCGAATCCTCCATAGGTTTAGTCTGACCACCGGAAATCATAAACGAGTACTATCGACGTAACGTTGAAACTTAAACTTACAAGTTATAACCATGTTTACCACTTACCAGTCCCCAAACCTCCACTCCCATTCTGTGTGTGAAAACGTGGGACCGCTGATCTACAGAATATGTTTTTGGGTTTATTTAGTGACTTTAAATAAGAAAGAAAACTCGTGGCGTTTTATTTTTTTAAACCGGAAGGGAAGTGGGATCGAGTAATAATAATTAAAGTAATAAATCGATCCAGGAAACTCGTTTATTCGTCTTGAAGTTTAGCTAGATGAGATATATATTGAATTACAAAAGGTAGTAATAGTTCCAGTAATGGATGCTAATTTTCTTGGCAATTCTGATTTTCCGAACTACACACTAGAGCTAGATACGCCTTTTCAAATATTTTTTTACCTCAGATTTAATGGATCATAATACATGTTTAGAGACTTATAAATATGGTGTACAAAATAACTCCAGCGCCCCCTTAAAAATGAGCAATGAAGATTTACAAAAATACATTGGTGTCATTGTAGTTATGAGTTTATTAAGTGAATTATTATTATTTAATTAATTTGAAAATAATAATATTATTAAAATTTTATATTCTTATTTAAGTTTCGAAAACATTTTTAGAGATCCGGAAAACACCAAAATGGTAAATGTTTGGAAATTGTATAATAATAATTAGGTACCTAGGTATTATTGTGAGATCTCACGCACATTTCAAAATGAAAAGGGTTAGTCATGATGTTGTTATACTAAGTACCTACCATCTTTTTATACAACTGTCATACTCCAGGCACTCACGCTCGACATGGGTCTCGTTTATTTTAAAATTTTTATATAACCTTCTTCCCTAGATGAACTTGGAGTAGGGGTACTTGGAAGGTGTTTTTTGGCTGTAGTTTTTAGAGTGGTGGTGTGTTTGAAAAAATCTGCAGGTTGACAACAATTTTTATTATCATTGATAATAATATATTGTACCTACAAAGTACAATATATTAATGTACTCAATGATATTAATATGTTCATACTTAATTGGGAAATGTGAACTCAATTATTGTCCAGTTTATTTAATATCTAATATTTAATCATTGATTAAATTCACAACGTATACTCGTATTAATCAATGCTCTAATGATAGATAGCTGTTATCATAAATCCGTGATTCGTGCACAGAATAACCAGAAGGGAAACTTAACCGGGGGACTGATAATAGTCCGACATTTTGACTCGTAAGAACCGATGTAATTTTTTAAAGTTCCCGTTCTGATTATTCTGTGTTTCATGCATGCGGCACAGATTATATGAAAACAGATTGTTCACTCTCGATGTAAACAAAAAATGAGCTGATAAGCACTCCACCGAAACCAGTGTGACCATGTCAGCCGGAACGAAATTATCGAACTTGTATTTACCACAAATTATATGATTATTTCATATAATCTGTGTATTTATCATATTAAATGTTAAAAAAATAATAAATGTTATATCGGTAATAATATTGACCCCGTCGATAACACTCTATCATTATCTCAAAGACATTTCATTATTAAACACTGATATATATATATATAGCAGTGTTAGAAAGAATGCTTTTATTGGATTTCATTCCTTTTTAGAGGAATGCAATCATGAATGCATTACATTTAGTTTTAAGGAATGAGGAATGGGAATTAATTAATTTTATGTCGGAATGTGAATGAATTCTAAAAAAAGAAACACTTCATGGCTATTTAGTAATTTTTAATTGACTGTAATTTACTAATTTATATTTAATTTATGATATATTTTATACATTTTTTCATAGCAAATGAACAGATTAATGAACAATAAATAATCAATTACTAACATTTTTTAAACAGTTTTAAAGGAATTAATTTTCTGAAAAAACGAATGTCTTACATCAAATGAATCACCTGTAATTTATACAAGGTGATCTTTTGGTTGACATTATTATTCTGACCAAAAAAAATTAAAATTATTAAAACATATTTTTATATTTAAATTTGTTTTCATTCATAATACTTAAAATAATATCTAAGTCTTTTATACAGTTTGCATTTTCAGAATAATGGAAATGGTTCTGGCAAAACATTTTTTTTAAACGCCCAAAAATGGACTGGTGTCGGATTTATATTATTCCCATTTCCCACCCCCTAGGATGGTTACAAGTTTTTTTTGTTTTTAAGCCATAATTTTGGGACCTTTAAGTTGAAAATTTGTTAGTTGTTAGAACTCATATCTATCCGTAACATGTTAAACGGAAAAAAATTCGGCACTTCAGTTTTTTATACTATTTTACTAACAATTATACTATTTTATTTATGTGAACTTTGTGATTTATTAATTTTTACTAATTATTTCATGTTCATTATTTTTTATTTAATTTAACCTATTAGCAGGCGCGTATGCGCATTTTGTACGCCAATTATACTTTTAAAGGCACGACTTTTATCTGAGTAGCCTATAGAATTAGAGTAAATAAAAAATTGGTTATATTAAAACACGTATAACTAGGTATATAAATATGCAATACTTTTAGTTGTTTTATACTTTTTTATAATAATTTGTATTATTTTATTTATAATTATTTTTTGTTTATTATTTTTGAATTGATATTATTTTTAAAATAACAATGTAATTAAATACTGCGTGCCAATACTATTCATAGTTGATTAATGCTCTGTCAGTTGTCATGCCATATGGTGGACAGCTTACTATTTCTCTATGTTAGAAATAATTAAAATTGTATATTAATAAGTATGGATATGTTATGTTGATTGTTTATAATGCATTATATTTTTACTTATTGGGAATTTTAAAATGTCTTATTATTAAATGTATTATTATTTATTAATTGTAATTTATTATTGAAATTAAAATTATTGCCCTTGGATAATTCATACTGTATAGTTCGTAAGATAATATAAAACAACTGTAATTGTAAGAATAATATTATTAAATTATTATTACTATCATTATGGTTATTAATATTTATAAAATGTTTGGTAAATACAAGAGAAACATTCTGTTTAACTCAATTATTTAACAAATTCGAAAGCCCGCGAACACGTTTAGAAAAAAATTCCCTTTAGACGGTCACACTGATTTTGGCGGGCCAATCATAGAGCCTTATTTGCAATCCTATTGTTAAAGGCCCGAGTGAACAATCTGTTTTCATATAATCTGTACGTGCGGGTTAACGAGTTTGTTGACAATACTTTGATAAGCAATGTACTTGCACGATGACATTGTGCCATAGGCGTAATATTTTATTTGTTTATTTGTTTTTTAGAAACAAAACTGGTCATTTTTCTTTTGTTTGCCGCTAACAACAATAATTACAACAATATTAACATGTCCAATACTGGAATTTCTGAGGGGAAAGTGGCAGTGGTGGGTGATTATGGTGTTGGAAAGACGTGTTTGTTGCAAAGGTTTGTAACAGGAAAATACAGCGAAGATCACCAATGTACCATAGGTATTATATTTAATATATGTATGGATAAATACTATATCAAAATACATACATATTTTACCCCTTATGTATAATACTTGTGTAAATTAAAAAATAACATAATATTATACGTCATACAAGAATATTGGTTGGCAAGCTAAAATTGTATTATGATTTTTAGGGCTAAATTATCAAAGTAAAGTCATCGACGTCTGTGGTCGAAAAGTTAAATTACATTTTATGTAAGTTTTGTAAGTGGCTTTTTTTTTTAAGTTAATTAGTTTTGTCACTTTATCATTACAATATAAATAGGATATATTATTACAATTTAGGGATACAGGTGGAGATGAAAAATTTGAATCATTAAATATGATCCATGTTCGAAGATCTGTGTGTGTATTATTAGTCTATGATATTACTCGGGAAAAATCAATTATCCGAATAGACAAGTGGTTTAAAAGTATTGAACAGGTAATTATTATCGCTATTTGGTACAGTAAATCTATTAGCATGCAAGATAAAAATTATTTATTTTTCTAGGTTTGGACAAGGTGTGTAGGTAATAATGTTTCTTATTTTGTTGTTTAGACAGCACCAAGCGATGTGATTAAAATTTTAGTCGGATGCAAATACGATAAAGATGTTGTAGAAAGGTCGGTTTCAACCGATATTGGACAAGCGGTAAATTATTATAATTTTTTAATTTTACACGATAAGTTTATTGTAATTTTGGTCTCACTCAATTCAATTAAAAAAAAAAATTCATGTGTTTTTTATTTATTATTATTATTTTTTATGGATTATCTTCTAAACCTCTGAACTGATTTCTTCATATAACAAGTCTTAAAAAAAAAAAAAGGAAAGAATGAAATCTGCCGTAATTTTAAGATTGACGATTTATAATTTCTTAGGGTGTTTTTAAAAATTTTTAAAAGAAAGAGGTGAACTATTTTCATTATAGCCTTTTAAAGTACCACTTTCTGATCCATAGTGTTGGCTTAAAGAAATTTGTTCGCCGATTAAAAAACTATTGTTGATCCAGTCTTAAAATTTAAGAAGCAAAATTCATCATTTTTAGCTACGTATGGAAGATAAAATAAAAATAAACTGCGTAATAATGTAAAATACCAAAAGTTCTCGCTATTTTATAGTTTAAAAGCCAACTAAGATATTATAATGATAATTTTGATAAATTAATAACTCAACAAAATAACAGTTTTTTGTATTTTCATAGAAAATTCATAACAATCGATGGACAACGGGTGTGTATCGTAGATGATTTAGGAATAAAATAAACGTATAACGTTGTTATTTTTCTTTTTTTAATTTTAAATCTATACACAAATACATGTTGTGCATTATGTTCGATGCTGATTATATATTGAAAATATTTGCAGGTGGCTGAACATTATAAAACACCGTTTTTTGAGGTATCGGCCAAAAACAATACCAATGTTAAAGAATTATTGAACACGATAGCGGAAATGTCGCTAGGAGTAATCCATACTCGATTTTTTGCAAAAGTAAACGACACTTGATTAAAACTTGAATCAATACCAGAGTTGATCAAAACCTAGGTTGCGTTATGTATATTATAAACTCATATATTTGGGTAAATGACAATCATTTGCTCGACTTGAACCTGGGTGTTGTTTTGGCCAACTCTGGTCTATACTTATCCATATTGTATTATGATATTATTGTATCACACAAATATCATTTATGTTATTTTTAATATCTGTACTTCAGGACCAGATCATATAAAATATGATTTCGCACCAAGCCCGTACCGATGGAATTCCGTTAAATAATGTTCTTCTATAAGTTACTAGGGTTATATGAGTTCTAAGTAACCATAGGAGCGCACTGGGCATCCTAGACGATTAACGTTGTTACGCTTTCTTGAAAAGTTGGCATGATGTGACCGACATTGTTGTCTGGTTTCGAGGTACAGATATTTAACTTTGTATTGAATAAATTTTAATAAATTCATATTTTGTTAACCTTTTAGGTCCGTTTGGTTCTTGCACAAGAACTAGCTGAGATACGTAAACCACCTAATGGAGGATGTAGTTGTTAATTTTTTTTTAATTCTTTTTAGTATTTAAGTAATTATTATTATTTTAAGTATCGGTATAAGTCCACAATATATTACTAAACTCAGACTGATGTTAAAGTGTTTTACGTATTTAACAGTTTAGGCTTAATAAAATTGACAAAAATCAATATTAGATGGTCATACACACACACACAGAAATTATTTTCTTTATGTATCAAGTAACAACCAAACAATTTAAATAAACAGAAAATATATTTACATATTTTTATGAATTTATTTTGGATTTTTACTAGACATTTTTTTTTTTCTTTAAATTTTTAAATTAATAGTATTGAAGTAGTATAAATCATGTCGAAAAGAGTAGTAAAAAAAATCGAGACAGCGCCAAAGGTAAACAGTCCCGTTCGGTGTTATATGCAATACGATAATAACATAGATATTTTCTCACAGATTGAAAAGAACATTAAACCAATACCGAAATCGAAATTACCAAAAACTCCGGTCGTGAAGAAAACGGTCATTCCAAAAAAACTCACTGTGCAAACTAGCGTGGACACAATACCCAAACCGTGTTCGGCAGAACTCAAATCGGAAACCGATAAAGGTGTGTTTTGTCAAACGAGATCGCCACATAACAGTATTAAAAACAATTAGTGACAGCATGTATTTTATGTTCTCTTGAAATGTTAACGATAAATGTACACATATTATTGTAACACTTAAAGGGTGTAAACTGAAAAATGGAAATTATTTGTGATTTAGTTATCGAACGTTGGGAGAAACTGGTGTCGGAATCGTACACGTTGAGCTGTAGAAGGACTGCACAAGAAACGGTAATAAATAATATAATAACTGTTAAATGATTATAACATTAAATTATTATTATTTCTGTTTAATTCGCTATCGTAAAGTTTCTCGGAGAATATTCAATATCCACGTCAGACGAAAAGTTGTCGATTTCCACAGTACACGAAGGAAACCAAAAAGACGATGATGTTGAAAAAGCTGAACAAGCTGAGATAAAGCTGAATAAAAAGGTTGATCTTCAGAAATGTTGAGACGTTTGCTACTATAATTATCACAATGAAAACAATAGTAATAAAAAAAAACCTTTCGGGCAATTTTTTTTTTTCAATAACAAGTTTTGTGCAGTAAAATATTTATTTACATTAAACTTCAAATTTTATTTTGTTAAATACACTTTTATTTGACGTTTTCAAATGTCTCGGTATTTTAAATAACTTTATAATTATAAATTAGTTCATTTAATATTTAAATATATAATTATTTTCTATTTTCTTATTATCTCAATTTGTGTATAGATAAAAAATTATTTTGGAAATGATAACAGTTTTATTCGAATGCCTTTTTTTTTTTTTAGTTTGTTTAAATAGAACTGATAGGTTTTTAGTTTGGAGAATTATTTCAGTGTAGATTACAGTAAAAATGTATATAAATAATATCTAGGTCTGTAAACTATGTTTTTTTTTTTGACAGAGTATTGGTGATAATAACACAGTACCAAAACCAATAGACAACGTACAAAAGTTAAAGATTGAACTTGACGACGAAAAAAAAACCAGAAAATTATTGGAGGATCGTTTACAGATTTCTGAAAAAAAAGATAAAGAAGCTGTAAGCAAATATAGCTCTTTATAGTGTTGTAAAAACAATTTTTTTTTTTTTACAATAGTACTTAGTTGTACTTGTAAGTAAAACGTATTTAAATAAAAATATAGATAGTTTTTAAAAGTTTAAGAGTGAATTGAAAAACTATTAAAAAAACATCATTAATTTAAGTAATTTATTATAACATAGTTGTAAGTTAAAAGATTAAAAAGAATTAATTTTGAATAGAAACAAAATCAACAGATTACATTTTTTTAATTTATTTGTAATAAATTAACGGTTAAACAATTAAAACTTTTTAACAATCATTTATAATATTAAAACAATAATTATAAATTGTTTTAATTTTAAAATATATTTTTGCCATTCGGTTGCAAATATATTCCAATAACTAAATAATATAAAAATATTTTTCTAAACAAAATAACTGCAGCTATAGGTTGATGCGATGAAAAGTGCGCTGATTTCCACTTTTAACCATTGGCAATTGAAGGCACCGGTGCAGTATTATAATATAAAACGTTTATTTTATGTTAAATAAATAAGAAAAATACTATATTTTTTTATAACTGATTATTGCAGCACCGGTTAGAAAACCAAAACTCCCAATTGAAATGTTTCCCGCTGTGGTATATTAGTTATGTAATAACGTTGAATACATTTTCTTATGTAGAGACTAGCTTTGGCAACAAATATCGACGAGATGGAATCGTTGAAATGCGAAATGGAAAAACTACAAAACGCCAACAGCGTGCTAACCGAACAGTACGAAGCGGTTGCCGCAGAATTGGAAAACCAAAAGACCAACAACAGTAAGCTGAACGATTTGTACAACGCTGTGGTCGACAGGTGTAAGTACCTGGAAGACAACGGCAACAACGAAAACGTGAGTTACTATACAAACAAACTGGAAGAAATCACCCGTCAACAGGAAATGGTAATCGCCGAGAAAAACTCTTTGCAATCCGAGTAAGCGTTAATAACGACAATAACGATAAACTCTTATTATAATTATACTATAGTAATAATTAAACTCCTCACTGCCTTTGACCATTTCTAATGTCGGAGAATTCACCGTTGCAGATTAGATGAATCTAATGCGACGTTGGACAACTTGCAACAACGTATAGAAATAATAATGGAAGAGTCGGCTAGAAAAGAATCGGAACTCACCGAAAAATTGACCGCACTAGAAGAAGAGTAAGAGAGTTTGGTGGTTTTTACAATCCAGCTGAACTAACAAAAGACATATTTTGTTTTGCCTTTTCCGCAGAAATACCACGTTGAAACAATATCAGACATACTTGGAAGAGCAGATCGACACCGTGCAAAAAGCGTTGGCCCGCAAAGACCAGTACATCAAGCAGCACGAGTTCATGGTCGATGAACTGACCAAAGACAAACGCATGTTGGAGAAGTCGCTGAACACCGCGACGCACGTGCAGCCGTACAGAGAAGAAGAGATGGAAAACTATCGGCGTCAGATCAAAAACTTGACGGCGTCCATTGTGGACATGAAAAACGCTTTCGCCATCACCGAAGCCGCCTACAACAAAGAAATGGAAGAAGTCAGGTAACCTGTTCTTCGACGGCAATAATAGCGAACAAGCCGTAGAAACTTAAACACTTGACCGACCGATTGCAGGGAGGAGTTACAAACCCGAGATAAGCTGTTGACGACGAAAAACAAAACCATTCAACAGCAGGATCAGACGTTGCGCTTGATGAAGGAGATGAACGCTACGGCGAGACCCACTTCCGTGCCGGAAGCCACTGCGAAAGTCAAACGCAATAGTTTCACCGAGGAACATACCAAGTGGCGTAAAATTTACGATGACATCGAGTTGGAGACCACAGCGTTTTCTGATTCTTCGGCCATTTACTGAACTTGCCTGGATGTAAAATAAATTACGCTACGCCTGATTACTACGCCTAATCGAGTATTGCCATTTTTTTTTTGGTTAGCAACGCAAAGCCCGTTAACATAACAACAAATTTAACTTAATACTTCTTGTCTTTTTAAGTACTTAACTTCACGATCCGGACTGGACCAAATTGAAGAATACTTAACTAACTAATTATAAACACTCGACAATAATTTCACCCAACAAAAACCATAATTCTCTCTCTAAACAACTGATAACACCCCTTTTACACAAAATAACAAACAACATTCATTTCACACCACTATTATTAATGTATATACTTTATTTTACCTGTTTCTCTTCAAATAGCACCATACATTGTTTTTTTTTTTCCATACCACATTTGAAAGAGGAAATCACTGCCATATTTTTCATTAAGTATTTAATGTTAAATAACAAAAATTAAATTTGTTGTATTATCTCAAATAGCAAAAGAAATGTTTAAAAATTATAACATTTTTGTAATGATTGTAACCATCTTTGTACAACCAAATAATATGATTCGTCTATGATGTATAAGTTGCACATTAAATGTGAAATTTACAATTTGATCTTTACACAGAATTTTGTTTTATCTATTCTGCGATTGTTATATCAATACACACGTCTGGAAATAGTAAATAGGTGCAGTTGTAAGACATAAATTACGTAAAGCCATTATCCGATATTTATTTATTTAAATATTAATAATACAATATGTATAATATATTCAACTACTGTAATGTATATTATATTATAAGCAATATCTATTATAAAGTACAATGACCGTAGTACGTCTACAAATGACTAAAAAATTTTAAATTTTAATTAAAATACTATTCTACTATTCTATTGTTTTTTACTAGTATATAAATGTATCGTACATATTATGTTAAAAGTACAGCAATGTATTTTTTTAAATTTGTTTTAATAAACTTAAAAAAAAAAAAAACAATAACACATAAACAAATTATTAAAATAAAAAAAAAATAAAAAATACATTTTGCATGTTTTAAAACAGTTAAAAAAAATATTGGCAAAACAGAAAACAAACAGTGATAGTTTTTAAAAACAAAGTTTGACGGCTATTTATAATCGATAATAATATTAGAGTAAATTGTAAACATAACATAACGTAATGCAAATAAATTGTACAATAACGTAAAATGTTACGATACGGGTGTACGATATACATTAAAATGTTGGATTACTTAACATTTGACTATATTTTTTTCTACGTGTCTATGGAAATATTGAATATATTATATGGAATATAACCTTAATTGTATCGTTAATGCTAATTTGACTGACTACGAAAGTAAGCGTTTAACCGTAAATACGACCGACTGGACTTTGCGAACAAACGTGAAATGAAAAACTATTATAACTAAGTCGGCGTAACTTGTCGCTTGTGCCTGACTCGCTCAACCGTATATGACCCACCTATTGTTGATCAAGTAGGCCACGCGACTCTCGTTGGAAGTGTACTTGGGGCAATCGTTGTCCTCGGCGTACTGGGCGCACTCCGAATGGCCGTTCATCAAGGCGTACTTATACGTCTGCTCGTCCCATGGACAGTCGTTCTCGTGGGCGTAACGCAGACAGTCCAAATGGCCAGCTTTGGCGGCGGCGTTGGTTGTGAACGCGTCCCAGGCGCACCCGTTCTCGAAGGCGAACTTCAGGCAGTCCAGGTGACCGTACTCCGCGGCCACCGCGCACACCGTCTGCTCCGGCTGGATGCGGCACATGTGGTCCACCGGCCCGGCGGCCGTGTAAATGTACCGCCATGGGCCCCAGGTGCAGCCGTTCTCGAACGCGTACTTCATGCAGTCCAGGCGGCCGGCCTTGGCCGCGTTGATGTACGTCAGGTTGTTCCAGATTGCGCCGTTCTCGTGCGCGTACTTCAGACACTTCATGTGGCCGTGGGCCGCTGCTATTTCGCACGTTTCGCGGAACGCGCGGGTCCTGACGCGGTGGTCCTTCAGGCTCCGGATGACGTTCACGCAACAGCCCTGCATGTCGACGGGATCGGTGGCCAGGTACTTGTCGAAGTACTCCCTCTCGTCCTGGTTGCACGCGTGATAGGCGTGTAATAGCAGCGAGAACATTGCGGACGTCGCAAAACACAACTTGACGCGCAACAGGGAACAGTGGGTTCCGGAGGCGGCGGCGGCGGAATGGCGTGTTCGACGCGTTGTCCATACTGAGCGCCGTGGGCCGTGGACGACGCAGTAGGTACGCAGCGAGAAAGAATGGCGGCCGCGGCGACATGCGCAACGCGGAAAATCAATAGTACCTACCTACCCGTCTTTCGCGCGTTAACAATTACGTCGACACGTCCCGTCGACAAAGACCGCGACCGTGTTCGTTCCGCTTGGATTCTGCACGGTGTAGGTACAACACTACCCACCCAGGGTTGCCACCCGTCCGCCTGTAAAGACGTCATCCGGACGTCAATCGATACCGTGTCTGATTCGAATATCGTTTCTCTTTAAAACGCGCCTTTTCTTTACGCTTTTTAGAGGAGTTTCATATTGTAGGCAATATTTAAGAAAACAGTATTGTTTTTAACTTCTACAATTTTAGTGGTATTTTAGACCAAGGAACCCTGACAAAATCGCCCCTACACAGGATGGACCTATTTAAATATTCTAAAACTAGAGCGTGAACTATGGAAAAAATCAACTAGCCAACATAGGTACATTTGGTTGGCTAAAAACAAAGCTCTAGTCAAAAATAGTACAGCCGCTAAATTAGATTTACACTTAGGTTGAGAAATAATGAAAATAAACATAATATCTGCCATATTAAGAATTATGTGACAATAATATTATGTAGGTACAATGACTTCAAACAAAATGTATTTTAGCTTCGGTACGGAGCTGAGAAGGTATTGTATTTACAATGATGTGTTTTTATTTATATTTTTGTGTGTCTTGACCCACGATATCTCGTAAACCGCCGAACCGATTTCTTTGTGTAGCAACTTTATAGATCAGAAATCATATCTAGAAGGTACTTTACGAGGCTAAAAATTAAAAAAAGTCACCCCTTCCCCATCAAAATCGAGAAAAACACCCAAAAAATGTATACATTTTTTCTACTTAGAAATACGATGCTCTATAACTTTTTTAAAAATAGTCGAAAAAGTTCCAAATTTTTATGAATTGTTTTTCAAACATAGTACTATCGATGAACATTAACAAACTAAAAATATATCATAAACCCTTTCCCCTAGAAGGGACAGAATTTTTTTCTTTATTTCACTTTTTCAAGCAAAGTTTTAGAGATTTAGATTACACCCTACAACATTACTATCCACAGATTCGCATCGAAGCGTTTTTTCAAAAGTGATTTTATCACTCGTTATTGGTATTTTTTTTTTTGTTTTATGACGGTAGTACTGTGTGTCTAATGAATATTTAATAAACATTTCAAACTAATAATTGTACTAATTTTTATATGTCATAGTGAACCCCTAGTTAGACTAATGGAAATATCGATGAAAACTTGCGTTGTTATCAAAATATGTTATTTATTAAATCTACACAAAAGCAAGACGTGTAGGTGTACATAACATATTATTATTTTCTACTACGGAGTACGACCGAGTGTAATATTCGTTTTGTATTTTTCCTGTAATAAAAATGGGTTTTTTTTTTTTATAACTTAATAATGATTGTTGTGTTGTGTGTTTCCAGTCAGTGTTGCCACCCGTCCGGTATTTAATTGTTAATATATTTTTTCTGCTGCGTTTCGCGTTTTCTAAGAAGCAAAATAGGTAACAAACAACTGATACGTCTCGTCGATTAAACTTATTATTGTCGTTAAATTTTCACAAAAGTAATAAAATATACTAAGAAACGACTACGCATGCATGCGACGGTGATTTCTATATTTTATTGTGTATAAAATAATAGTAGCTGGATAATTTCTCGAGCGAGTGCTGCGATACAATATATTATTGTAAGTACGTTTTTGTTTATTATATTTTTATACGTGCTAGGTAGGTAATATAATATGGAGGTATTTTAGTTTTATCTTAGTACATTTTTTTACACCAAAATGTGTTTACCGTAGAATATTTTCTATCCGTGTCGCTTTATATAATGGTCATAAGACAACGCAATAAGGTACCTAAAAAAAAAAAAAAAAACAGAGTGCTTTCAATCCCCTTAATGTCTTTTTTCATTATACAAAAGTGTAGCTTAAGATAATGGCGTAAGACATTTGTTATTTCATTATATAAAACGACACCTTTATAATATAATGAAATAGGACATTAAAGGGATTGTTCTTTATTTTACATTTTAAACCAAAAAGCCTGGCAACATTTTCACTATCTTAAGGTTGATCCGGATTTAGTTTTCTAAAGAGATACGAGTTCTTTAGAAATAAAAGATTTATACTTTTATATTTTATTTTAATACCTACCCATTACCTACATTTGCAGTCGTCCCGTTGTAGTAGCTTTAGGTCCTTTTTCTATAATACTTTCCCGGTAACAAAAATGTGGCATTTGATTACCAGATAAATCCATTTTTTTTTACAAAACTACTTTTACAGCTAATTTTTCAAATAATTTGGTTTTTGGACGAAGCCCGTTACTTAGAGAAAAGAATGAAACCGGTGAAAATAATTAAAAAACACAAATTATTTGTGTAATCAAATCGGTTTCATCGAATAAAATATTGTTTTTTGTACACTTTTGGTTTACATAATTTAGCAATAACAATTTTCGGCTACAAGTATAGGAAAACAATTATTATAAAAACATTAATATTTTCTGTAGCAACTCTGTCGATCAGGAATCTTACATGTAAGGTACTATATTGGACCAAAAATTAAATAATTTCACCCCAACCCCTTTAAAAAAACAAAAAAACACTATGATAAAATCTAAGATTTTTTTAAAAAATATTTAAAAGGGGATGGAGTTGTGGTTGGGTTGGAAGTAGGGATGGGGTGGGGTTGGGAGTGAGTATTAGCTCTGGCACATAACCGAAAAAAGCGTTACCACACGGATATGGGGTTGGGGGTGGAAGATAGGGGTAGGAGATAGGGGGTGAGAAAAAGGGTAAGATATAGGAGATAATAGATATGTTGTACGTTCAACGTTCAAATTAGAACTAAATGATAAATTCAAAATAGTTTAAGGGCCCAAATTCTCTATGAATTGTTTTAAGCCAGATAATAAAAACTACAATATTAGCCAGAAACTTGATGTTTTAATATACTAGCTTGTTACTGTTTCTTAATATACTATATCATTATCTATAATTCCACCATTACTCTAAATTTATTCGGTACATCAACGAGACATGAAAATGCTCCTTCGTGGTTGCAGACTCGGCTGGAAAATTTTTTTTTTAATAAAATTAATTTTTAAGCACATAATTAGATACAACCTACTATTGAAAGATTCGTATCGAAGCGTTTATTTAAAACTGATTTTATCATTTTACCGTCCCCGCTGTACTGGATTTAGTGTGAATAATTTAAAATTTTAAGTACAATTTTGCAAAACGTAACGTATGTCATGTTGTTTTTGTTTACTGAGGTTGTGCATATATTTATTACGGTTTTGTAGCTTTGCAGTTTGATGAACGCACAGTATGCCAGATCGTCATTTCATAAATAACTTCATTCGCTATAGTCGTTCAATTGTACTGTTTTTTTTAAATCACAAAACGATTTAGATATTTTAAAGGTTACCGTATCAAAATATTGTCGATCAAAATATTATTGTAGAATATGTGAAATCTCTAAGTAGACCAGAACCGGTCGAATTTAACAGTTAAACTAATATAAGTATAAATATTAGTTAGCTTCAATATATAATTTGAATTTATGCAGAATTAATCTAAACACAAAAAATTCAATTTTTACACGTTTTGTAAAATTGATTTAAACTCCATCGATAAATATTCATAAACCAAATAATACATTTCGCACAGAATAATACGTCGAACTAAATAAAAAATAATATAGCTGCAAAATTGTCGATTTTAGTATTATCAGTTTGACGTGGAACTTTCATTCGTTCGGTTGCCAAATATTGTGCACGTCATTTGATAAATAACATCATTCGCTATAGTCGTTCAATTGTACTGTTTTTTTAAATCACAAAACGATTTAGATATTTTTAAGGTTTTTATTTTCAAAATTCCTACCAATTAAATTTCTATTAAAATGAAGTGGTCAAAAATACTGTTTATAATTGTATTGAACTTTGCGGTTCTCAAGTGTGGATCAGCTCAACCTTTAATAACCGGATATACATATAACACCGAAGACAATGATCAAAACATTAATCGTATCAGTGACTTGAAATGCGGTTACTTGTTCAGAGGGTTAACGCAAATGCGCCTAATCAACCTTGTGTTTTCACCACCAGTAAGTTCACCAAGCAAAGCGTTAGAGTTGATACGCTATCATAAAGATACTGTAAAATATATGATATCTACGTTATATTTGTTGGATCGAACGAACCTTAGTACATTGTGGCTGTTACAGTTGTATACAAATATGCTACTGAATTATTACGATTTTATACTTAAACATGTTGAAACGCCTTTGGAACATCATGCACCAAAAATCATAGAGACTCACATGTATGTCATCAAAAAAATGCAAAAGTTCGCAGGTAATTGTCGCAAAAATAATATATATGATTCGGAGAGCGAGTATGTCACAAACCCAGGACTCACGTACGAAAGCATTTTGAAGCTCTTTGTTAGCAACGACCGTGATTTTATGGAAATGATGAAATTGAATAGCAATATAAGTAGTATAAATGTTGAGTTGCTCAGTGAAACGATGAGACCTAAAAGGCTCTTGATGAACAACCTGGGTATAAATGCGGAGTTCAAAACTGATTTGATGATGAGGTACCATGTGCAAGTGAACTGGGGTGATACGTCTAATCGGTTATACAACGCTTATTATAGTGCTTACGATATGGACTGGACCACTAACAACCTTCGTAAGTTAGTAGCATATTACACATTGCACATAGATTTTTTGAAATTCATCATGTATCAATTGATTTTGAAACATTTTATGGGCTCAGAAAAAATAAAAGTCGGTCCGTTTCATTTGTTAATCGCGCTAGATAATTTCCAAAACAGATTGAATCTGAATGACGATGAGCAAATTAACGAGTTAAAAGTAGCAATTAACACATATGGCAAGAGCAAGTCAGATAAGCATGAATGTTTGCTTTTCATTAAAAGTTATTTACAAGTAGCAATGCAAAAGATTTGCGAGTCCCTCGGGTGCCTTTTGATCGAACCAATACCTTTAAACGTTACTGAACTATCCACTCCTAGCAATGGACATGAAGAGATTTATGTACAATGCTTAGTGAGCGAAGTGACAATTGTTAAAGTAGACGTTGACTACTATTTAGAACATCTTAATTATATTTTTGCACATGTCAGTTTTGAAGCCATTAAATTAATCATTCAGTATATCAGGGAAATCAATCAGTAAAGTTATTTTGTCATAATAATCGAATATATTGATATTCATATACCTTTTTTTTTTTTATAATTCTAAAAAAATATTATTTGTAAAAATTCGTTGAGTAAAAAATTGTAGTTAATCACTAAATATCTAAGTAACCATATTTAAATTATCTATTAAAAGTATATTTAACATAATTTTTCTGTTGTTATGTAAAAATTACGTCGCTATGTGTCAATATATATAATAAATTTAATAAATAAAATTCTTATTACGATTCTCATCTATCGAAACTTTTTTATTTGTGTCTTTTACTTTTGGGATTTAGTTCTAAAATTTATGATGGTCAAATATTGATTTAGAACGGAGCTATAGCATATACAGTATCTCTTATATTATCTGTATTAACTTTTGTTAACCAAAAAACCAAAAAATAGGGGAAAATTATATTTTGTAAGTAAAACTGTGTATTTTTAGGTACGTAATTGTTATTAGGTAAATGTACGAATACACATGAAAAGATTTATGTATAAAGCTTAGTGGGCGAAATGAGAGCTGTTAAAGTAGAAGTAGACTACCTTTTAGATTATCTTAATCAAGATTTTGTACATGTCAGTTTTTTCGTCATTCAATTATTGATTACATCAAGCGTTTCATTTGCTAATCGCACTAGATCATTTCCAAAACAGATTGAATCTGAATAACGATCAGAAAATCAACGAGTTAAAAGTAGCAATTAACAAATATGGCAAGAGCAAGTCAGATAAGGATGAATGTTTGATGTCCATTAAAACATATTTACAAGTAGAGCTGCAAACGATTTGCGAATCACTCGGGTGCCATTTGATTGAACCAATAACCGGAAATGTCGAAGAACTAATGATACCTTGTGAAAGTATGAATGCACATGAAGAGATTTATGTACAATGCTTAGTGAGCGAAGTGAGAACTGTTAAAGTAGACGTTGACTACTTTTTAGATCATCTAAATCAAGATTTTGTACATGTCAGTTTTTTCGTCATTTAATTAATCATTAAGTGTATCAGGGAAATCAATTAGTTAATTTTTTTTGTCATAATAATCGAATATAATATATACTTTTTTTTTATAATTATAAATAAAACAATAATTGTAAGTATTCATGTAGTAAGACATTGTAGTTAATAACTAAATGCTCGGTTGTCATTAGTAATTTATATAACAGTGCGTCAAACATCAAAATAACCATATTGAAATTGTCTATAAAAAGCATAGATAACTTGTTTTTCCGTTATTAATAATTATGATGTTATAAGTCAATAAATACAATAAATATAAATCTTTTTGCTCCTCTTAATTATCGGAACTTTTTCATTTGTATTCTTTACGTTTTCTAACAAAGTTTTAAGTATTTAGGTCTGAAAATTAGACTGAAGGTTGATCTAGAAATGAGCTATAACATACACTTTTTTCTTTAAAATCTGTATTCAAACTTGTTTTTAATTAACCAGAAAGCCAAAAAATAGGGTAAAATTACATTTTGACCATTAGTCAGTTGTCAATTTCCAGGTTGCTTAGTGTGAATCAGTCAACTTGTGTTAAAAATATTATGGTACTACGTTTTTAAAGTCAGACGATCAAGTAATCGACGAGTCAACTTTAATCTAAACCACCTTGGCACAAAAAATTAATTTTTAAGCATATAATTGTCATTAGGTACAATCCTTTTATCGATATTTGTATTTTTATCTGTGAACACTGGATCTCCCTTCCTTACTATTTTTTTATACTCGTATAATCTTGCAGGCTGTGCTAGTTTATACTGTGCTTGGTTTGGACTGTCTTAGTTAGAACTAGTATATTTTAAGAGAAAGACTTTCTACCAGAGCATAGATTTTTAATTTTTGATTACAATACCAAAATAAACAAAAAACTAGTTAAATAATATTGTTTGAGTTGGTCATATTTAAATTTTTATTACAATGTACAAATTGCATTTGGATAATCAAAGCACTTTGCAGACTGTAGAAAGTTTCTCTTTCAAACAAGAAAAATTGGCAAAATCTTAATACGTTAGTACTTTTCCTGTAAGGCATATGACGTCTAGGCAGAAAAACGCACCGGCACCGAACGCTTTAAGTATTAAATAGCTTTTAAAGCTTTTATTAAGCTTTTAAATATAATTTTAATTTATTTAGAATTTATCTAAACACATAAAATGCAATTTTTACACGTTTTGGTATCGATGTTATTTTACACACATGTATCTATTTCATACTAATTTTCAGATCCTAAATGCTAAAATTTCCCCCAAAAAAATGTAAAAAACAAAAACCATCTAACTTCTTTCGCGTGGTTAATAAAACTTTTTATATTAAAAATGCTAATGTTATAATAAATCGAAAATATTTTCGAAACGCATACAATTTCATTATTTAAATTTTTTTGTAAATTCCATCTAACGGCAAAATAATATAGGTACCTATAAAAATGTCTGTGTTCGAATTTCTCATTATAATTTTATTTTCTGTACATTTCTTAGTCTTACTTTCTATGTTGAACGTTAAAACGAACCATCAAAATTTGAAAATGTTTTCGAATCAGATATACTATTTACATACGTTTTGCGCACATAGATATCATATTATTTCGCAGCTACTGCCTTTAATATTCCGTAAAACAAACAGTAAATTTTAATAAAAAAAAAAAAAAAATCTTGCTCGAACTACGGTTACAGACAATAACAACTTGTATTAAGTATGGCTATCGACGGATATTCATAAAGCACAAAGACAGTACAATGGGGTTGGGTCTTGAGTTGGACCGAGCTGACTAAATGTGATAAAATCACTTTCAAATAATCGTTTTGATGCCAATCTGTAGAATTACGTAACCACCGATAATAGTATTGTAACAATAATGATTAATGTACAACCATCTTAGTGTAATTCTCCCCTTTAGTTTAGTTTTTCCTTGGTGAAATTAAGTTTTACTACAGCTTTGTATAAAACTTGGTATATGACGTTATAGCCCCAAACTTTATTAGAATACTGAAGGAAAAAAAAACTATTATTTAGTATAAGTCAATACTTAACTGTACAACAATGTTTTTTCATAGGCTTTGAAACGCCATATTTAGTTAGAACCATGTGTTTTAAAAATGTACAAAGTTGTGCATGATTAAAAAAAAATAGTTTATCTTGTGCATTGGTGAAATTGGACGGGGCGGGGGGGGGGGGCTAGGGAAGTGTAAATTCTTCTCTGAAAAGAGTCTCTGGAAAAGCATAAGGATTTTAGTTAAAAATTGTGGAAGTATGAACAAATAATTATAAATACTATCCATTTGCCTTAATTCAGGAATTGCTATGAAGCTTTTTGCGGATTGAAAATCAAACGAAGCAAATAGTGTTAATTAGAAATGTCGATATTAGTTTTTCTTAAGCTCTATCGACTTGTTGCTGTTTAAATACTTTTCTTAGTATTTAAATACCAACAATTATGATAAAAATTATTAGGATTAGAGGAAAGAAAAACGGCAGCAGATAAGACAATAACATTATTATAGACACAAAAACATTGACCGAGCTAATTAAACAAATGTAAAACAAAAATCAGTGCAAACTTATCACAAAAACAATGACTAAATGATAAAATCGCTTTAAAAAACAAACTGCTTTGATGAGTTATTGCGGCCGATAGCTACTATATTTTGTAAAGTAAAAATATAATCAAGTGTTGATAAAAGCATTGCAAAGACAATAATGCCCTTAGAAATAGCCTATAATATTGCATACAATTAGTACGAATGGTGTGGCCCCCTTGTTAAAAGACTGTCAGAACTAAAAACAATAATTATTTTTTAGGGAATTCAACTTAAAGATTATACGTGCTCGCAAATGGGAGATTAGGTTAGCTAACGATAAGACTATAAGTCCACTGATCATTAATATTTCACGGGTTGCATATATAAACAAGGTGATTCATTAATGATAAGACACACATTTTAGGGATTTTAGTTTTTTTTTAATGGCAACATATGTTTTTATCAACACATTTGTAGACAAAAAAAAAAATATATATATTTTAGCGTTTGAATTTTTGAATTTTTATTTATTTGTTCATTCGTATGACTTGATTTGATTTTTTGACTGTATTTCTTAATATTTTCATTTGTTACTACAAAGACCAGTAGTTTTATTACACGCATAAAAATAATTTGATAATGTGGGTTTGTAAAACCAACCTGTCTACCTGTGTTGGAAAAGGTAATCTGTAGATAAGAACCGTTTGTCTATCATTATTTCAAAGTCTTTTATACCAGTGACTTTTTTTTGTTAGATGGTTATCGCCAAATGGACAATGCGAACATAAATATGAACTTTATGTGCTACCGGTTTTGGGAAACCGAAGAAACATGATAATCATTAAGAGAAAGTGTAGTATCTTAACAAAGTCATAGCTATTGAACAAATAAATGATATTCCAAAATTCAAACGCTAAAATATTTTTTATTTTTTGTCTACAAGTTTATGTAATTAAAAACATATGTTGCCATTAAAAAAAAACTAAAATCCCCTCTTTTGGCCTTCAAGTATTGGTGATACAATTTTTTTAAATATCGGAAAATATAGCACAATGTATACCAAAAAATCATGCATAAAATATTGTTCAAAATATTAATATATTCCGAGAAAATTAGTGTCCTATCCTTAATGAATCACCCTGTATAAATTATATTAACTGTTAGAAAATATTGGGTTTTTTTTTTGTAGAATTTCCCACATCGGCGCATGTTTTTCAGATGTGACGCCGAGTTCAAAAGTATACAAAATAAATAAAATATATGATTTAAATATATATACTAAAGTGTTGTCTATTGAATTTTAACCATACCGAAAACACAATTTTTCTTTTAGCGTTAACTCGGTAACACGATTTTTGTACTTTAGAAAAACTCTTGTGTGATTTGATGCGCGTTTCCATTTTCACTGTTTACACAAGTGAAAATATAGTAACCGTTTATGGCAAAATGTTTTTACACGTTTAAAAGACTTTACACATTATTTAGATACCCATATCGACA